TTTCCCATACAAGGGATTGGGCGAGGCAAGAGTGGCTCTCACACTTGCGTCTTGTTGATTTCCCATACAAGGGATTGGGCGAGGCAAGAGTGGCTCTCACACTTGCGTCTTGTTGATTTCCCATACAAGGGATTGGGCGAGGCAAGAGTGGCTCTCACACTTGCGTCTTGTTGATTTCCCATACAAGGGACTGGGCGAGGCAAGAGTGGCTCTCACACTTGCGTCTTGTTGATTTCCCATACAAGGGACTGGGCGAGGCAAGAGTGGCTCTCACACTTGCGTCTTGTTGATTTCCCATACAAGGGATTGGGCGAGGCAAGAGTGGCTCTCACACTTGCGTCTTGTTGATTTCCCATACAAGGGATTGGGCGAGGCAAGAGTGGCTCTCACACTTGCGTCTTGTTGATTTCCCATACAAGGGATTGGACGAGGCAAGAGTGTCTCTCACACTTGCGTCTTGTTGATTTCCCATACAAGGGATTGGGCGAGGCAAGAGTGGCTCTCACACTTGCGTCTTGTTGATTTCCCATACAAGGGATTGGACGAGGCAAGAGTGTCTCTCACACTTGCGTCTTGTTGATTTCCCATACAAGGGATTGGGCGAGGCAAGAGTGGCTCTCACACTTGCGTCTTGTTGATTTCCCATACAAGGGATTGGGCAAGGCAAGAGTGGCTCTCACACTTGCGTCTTGTTGATTTCCCATACAAGGGATTGGGCAAGGCAAGAGTGGCTCTCACACTTGCGTCTTGTTGATTTCCCATACAAGGGATTGGGCGAGGCAAGAGTGGCTCTAATAATACCACACTGTGTCAGACCGGGGAAAATTACTGCTCAGATTGAAAGACCTGACTGAAGTTGTGGGCACAATGGCAAATCAGTTATTGCTTGTGGAGAAATTGAGTTTGCCAAGAATGACTAGGCCAAAATATGAGTTCTATTGGATGTCGGTCAGTGAATAAGAAGTCACAGTTTAATTACCGGTAATACTGTCTTATAAGTCATGGCAAACAGTTGTGGGACAATGCTAGCTTACTGTTGAAGGAAAGCCCAACATGAAGTAGGTCTTAGCTGTGAAACACTCTGTGGAAACCCACAGGCACGGGTAGGGTGCTGACCAACCTAGACACCCAATCAGGGAGAATCTGGGATTTGAACCCGCAATTATAGATTTCTGCCACACCTAAGGGACACAACTCTGTATCCTTGTGTCTCATTGAGGCAAGTAGCTAATGATTGTGCCCAGTATATAAATACTTGGTACATTGTCACCAAACAGGAAAACAGCCCCTGACACACAAAACAATTCATCATTATATTTTCACCCAATGTTTTATAAATTGTGAGTGAGTGAGTTGGGTTTAACGCCGCTTTTAACAGTATTGAAGTTATATCACGGCCTGTCAGCTTAATGTGGGAAGAAGGCCCAAAGTGATGCAGGTCTCGGATGTTAACCATTTCGGTTAAATCCACGAGCACAGATATGGTGCAGACAAACCTAGAAATATAATCGGGGTGAACCGGGATTTGAACCCACAATCATAAGTTTCTGGCTTGCCCAAGGGATGCAACTTTGCACAGCATTATAAATTGTGAAGTCTTTTCTTGTTCATATAATATTTTCAAAAACCGATAAAGGTATCTGTGTATATCACCTGTACACTAACTGTACATTGAATTGTGTATTGGCAGTGTCATCTATAATAACTCGTTCAAGTCAGTCTAGTCTAAACAATACTACTAGTTTCACTGATTTCCGGATCATAAATAGGGGTGAAACGACACAGCAAGGTCACAATACATACCACGATACGATATGTATCATGATACACATATTTACGTCAAATGGCATGGAAACTTCTTGACAATAAATATTTCAGAGCAGGTTCAAAAGGAAAAGCTACCTGTAGGCATTTATTCGAAATGGCTATTTTTAGTAGTGAACTTTAAATGCTAATTACAACACATTTTGTGATATCTGACTGATAAATATGCCAGGGGTCATTAAACAAATATAGTAAGTAATATATATCAGCAAGTGTATGTCTTGTATCGATACAGAGAAAAACATATCATGTATCGTATCGTCGCATGAAAACTCACGTTTCACCCCTAATCATAAAGGGTAACTTTTGTCTTTCACAAAAAAACATGCTCGCTCGATAAACTCGTCTTGTCTTCTGATTGAGTCGACAAGGATGTTAGAAATGATCATCCTTCTCCAAATTTTCTGGACACTATTTGCAGCCTCATGGGTATTATCACTATTGAAAGGAAAAGTTGCAGTTGCATAAAAAAATCACAATATAAATGTTAATAGGCATACCACATACTTACTGCACTTAATAATGACACAAGCAGAAGTGGGTGAGAAATGGTCAGACATTACATTTTCAATATGACTCCTGAAGAGGCAATGCTTAAAATCTCAGACATCCATGGCAGCCATATAGACAATTGGATCAGAATTCTGCGAGCACATTTTTGGGCAACATATAACACTTGTGTCATCCATGCAATGGTCTTGTGGTTTCAGATGAGAAGTTGGAAACGTTACAGTTTACGACAGAGAGATGGATGGACAGAAGAAGGACACTGCGTCACGGTGTGTCTCCAGTCAATCACCCCAGCTGAATACTGTAAATCTTGAAATTAATATGAGCGTGAATTAAATTTGACAAATGCGAGTGGTCTTTGCTCGCATTAATTAACTTCGCATTTATTTCTCCAAAATGACTATCAACAATAAGACAGCCTCACTGCACAATTTGGAGAATGGAAAAACCAACTTGAATAATAACACAAACACTTCTTTGAGTGGCATTTAGAAGTTGGAGTGATGAAGTAAGATGAGTTCTATGGATGAACAACTTCTTTATTACAATTAGTGCGACGTTTCGGTGTAGATCCTAACACCTTTATCAAGCAAGTGATGGATAGGGCTAAACAACATAGGTATATATACACTTATTGACATCTAAGTTGTTACAGTGACTAGTTGATGGACACAGAGAGGTGATTAAGCTAATTGGAAGCCAGTGGATGACTAATGAACACAGAGTATACTAGCAGAGTAAACAAGCAGACTGATGGAGATGATGGAAGCCACTGTATTAATTGGATGGACAAAGGGATTTAGCAATTAGGTGATGGTAAGCAGGCGGGATGTAATAGCCTTGGTCTCTGTTCATTGCTGGCTGGATCCTTTTGATGTAGATGGCTTCTAGGAGTTTCCTGATACTCTGCTAGTATACTCTGTGTCCATCAACTAGTCACTGTAACAACTTAGATGTCAATAAGTGTATGTATACCTCTCTGTGTGGGATAAAAATATTAATATTATGCCTGTTTAAACACTTAAATTCCTAAGGGCACACCAAAACCTTTCTAGTTTTCTGTTTCCCTGGCACATTTGAAACAAAGCATGTTTACCCCTCTAATAACATGCCTTTTCCAAGATCATCTGCCAATAGTATATTCTCGCCACCACTGTCACCTTCATTTATCACAATAAAGGGAAAATTCTATTAATCCTATGTATATAAATAGATGTACCCTATAGATATACAATGCCAAACTTAAACACTCCGGGCAAAAATCTAAGTTGTTATTTTATGACACTTCAGTCACTTTGTTTCAAATGAATGAGTGAGTGAATGAGTTGGGTTAAACGGTGCTCTTAACAGTATCAGTATCCATTTTTATCATGGCTAGTCATCTTACTGTGCGGGGAAAGCCCGAAGTTTACCACTTTGATGAAACCCACGAGCACGGGCATGGTGCTGACAAACCTAAATACATAATTTGGGTGAACCAGGATTTGAACCCACAATCATAGGTTTCTGGCATGCCAAAGGGACACAAGTCTATACAGCGAACAACACTTTGTTGTCTGTTTAGCCCTGTATTATTCAAGCTGTATTAAAGCAGTCTGTAAAGATATTGGAGTCTGAACGAAACAAACCAGTGGTTGATATTAAGGGGTGAAATGATCCACCTGAGCACCATTGTATCGTGACTTTTAATGGGACGATACAATACATGATACGTTTTCTTCCATTTCGATACAAGACCTTACACTTGCCAAATAACATTACTACTACTTTAGTGATCCCCCCCTCCCCCTCCCCCAGCGTTTTTGTCAGTTAAATATCACAAAATGTGTTGTAATTAGCATTTCAAGTTCACTACACATAATAGCAGCTTCGAATTTGTGTCTACAGTTAGCTTTTCAATTTGAATCTGCTCTGAAATATTTGTGGTAAAAACTTTCCATGCAAAATAAATATGCACATCACGATATATTTCGTATCGTGACGTATGTATCATGATAGGTATCATATCGTGACCTTGGTGTATCGTTTCACCCCTGTTATGATATATATTGTTAGAAACAATCCATTTTGTCGGGATACAATGACTTGCAATAAACCAAGTCAACAAGGAGACATGACTGCCTGGGGAACTACATGTATTCCAAACGGTTTGGTTTTTGGGAGGTTTCTTTTGTTTAACGCAGCACTCAGCAGTATTCCAGCTATATGAGCGCAGTTTATAAAATAATCGAGTCTTCACAGACAATCCAGTACATCATGACATCATGATCATCAATCCGCGCAATTGGGATACAATGACATGCATCAACCTTATTAAGTCAGCAAGCCTGACCACCTGTTCCCGTTAGTGGCCTCTTACGACAAGCATAGTCGCCTTTTACAGCAAGCACGGGTTGCTTAACACCTATTCTAACCCGGATCTTCACGGGGCTATTCCAAACGGAATCCCCACCGGTTGACATGGTCATTCGATCACTCGATCACCATAAGTATATGCGCTGTTCTTGCAGAGCACTATGTGTACCTATGAGACTAGCCATATACCTAACGAAGCATGCCAAGAATCTGATTTTAGTGACAATCCTCTGGTCATTCGTTTAACAGCCCGGGGCAATAAAATCCCCAAACCCTTGAGGTACCGTTATTTGCTTCTCGAAGATACTCACCTCCATCTTGTTGTTCTCTTCCTCTGTCCTACGCCCTGTTCCAGCAAAGAAACCGCCAAAATTTGAAAAAAGGAGGACGATCAGTGAAACCCAGTTGTTATGAATCCATAACAATGTTTTCTCCCAAATCCCCCAGGTAACCAAGGACTCGCTCTGCTTCTTATGAGACTTACCGTTGACGAAATTCGTGTGAAACTATGAGTATGACCTTGTGTGGACAGTTTACAACCACGTTTTCCTTTCGCGTTACCTGATCCTAAATAGATTTAATATGTTTCATTTATATGCATTATGTTTGTCATATATGAAAGACATGCAATATCAACTTTCCTCAAAATCAATACACGATAACCACGTGAATAACTACTTCCTGCTAGTAAGGGAGGTAACTCTAATGTTGTCATTTATTCAGCGTTACACAGTGACTTCTGGTGGTCGTGTCTGCTAAAACATGAGATCGAATCTCTGGGGTTTTTTTTCAAATCATAGACATTTAGATCCGACATAAGTCGCATAAATCGTCTCTGTTATTCCATAACTTGGCAGCAGGATGTCGATGAGGGAGTGACGACGTCATAGCTGAAGATTGTTGACGTCATTCGACAATTGTGGTTTTCTACGACGGTTGTCGTGATCGGTGCATTTTTTTCGAAAGGAATTAAGAAATAAACGACGCGTGGCAAGTACAAAAGTGGTTTAATCACAATGCAGTGTGTTATTGTACGATAAACAACGACCAGGAGTCGTTCATTTCTTATATGAAATCTATGGACCATATATGGTCTCGTTAAAATGTTCCTTCGACCTTTTTCTGCCATGTTTAACTTCACGCGGATGACTGGGAATTTTAATTATGCACCCATGTCACATACATGTAATTTTTTTTTTAGTATCAGACAACAGTTTGAAAAAGAAAGCTGATCAGACTGGTCAGAAAGAATTATTTTTCCCCACTGTACAGTTATTGGTGTAAGACTACTGAGTTTCGTCCGCAACGGAAGTTTATTGTTCAAGAAAACGTCAACTTAAGTTTTAAAATGATGACAGCAATACTTTTTTGTATTTGAGTTAACTGTTTATGGATACGAGGTGCTGCAAAGTTCGGTTTGTTTTTCCTTCATTGAAACTGTGATAATGGCGCTGTGATTGGTTGGCCAAAATACGTGTTGTAGTATTGTCTGTGGATCAAATTTACAGGGTACATGCTCTGATTGTTCAAGACATTTGATAACCAATTATGTAGGTATATATAATCATGAATAAACATTATCAATCCCCTCAGAAAAATGGAATAAATTATCATAACATGACAGCTCGTAGTTCCAACATTCTGCTATGGATATTACATCTAATTGAAATTAGATTTACAAATTATTGATGTAGACTGTACTCTCGATTAACGTATGATAATCTATAATTGCAAGTCTTTAACTCTTATTTGAAAATGGAATATATAGAGAATCTCACCCGAGTGTCTTTTGATATCAAATATATCAACACGAGTTGATAAAAGTGAAAAAAACTCTGAGGCTTGCCGTGAAGTTTTTCCATTTTTATCAACGAGTGTTGATATATTTGATATCAAAAGACACGAGGGTGAGATTTTATTTATCATCCACCATCACTCTTCCAACTATTTCAGTTTGTAGACTGTAATAAGCAGTGTCTTGAGTGTCAAAAAGTACTGTTGACAGCTTCAGTGACAGAGCCATTAGTAATGTCATTTGAATGTGACGTCATTGTAACAATGTCACAATAGTCTGCAAAAAAAATTTCATTGCAGCGATATCTACAATGTAGATATTGCTGGATCTCAACCAAGCTATATGTGGGAGCCAGTTTTGTACGGTGACCCATAAGGGATTGTGAGTATGTGATATTCACGTATGTATATTACCATGGATATTAGATCCAATTAATATATAAGATTTACAAATTTTTGATGTAGACTGTACTCTCGATTAACGTATGATACTCTGTTGCAAGTCTTCAACTCTTATTTCATATGTTATCTGAAATGTCAGCAACGAGTAAACGCCTTTTTTTTCGTTCAATGTCGTTACAATATGAAATTCTATTTATGTAGGCTAATAGACGGTCGGTGATTTCCGCCGCTGTGAATTTGTCATCTGGACAGGTGCGCGTGATTTGACCTCGTGTGTCAGATTGTGACGTGGATGACTGAACTTGAAAGTAGATCTAAAGATTTCCACGGCGACCGACGAGTGAATGAGACCGTTTATCACTTGAATAACACTGTTAGAACATTTGGCACTGTTTACAAATTTTTGTGTTGACATATGACATATGTGTATGACATATCTGTTTGAAGGCTTGATAATGTGAAAATAATGTACATATAGTTGAGTAAGGGAATGGAATGTTTTACAGCGAGTGAGTAGGTTGGGTTTAACGCCGCTTTTAACAGTATTCCAGTTATAACACGGCGTGTCAGCTTAATGTGGGAGGAATGCCGGAAGTGATGCAGGTCTCAGACGTTTACCACTTGGTGAAACCCACGAGCACTGGCATGGTGCTCACAAACCTAGAAACATAATCGGGGCGAACCGGGATTCGAACTCACAATCATAGGTTTCTGGCGTGCCCAAGGGACGCAACCCTGCACAGCGAATCGCGGCGCCTTGGACGACTGGACAGTGAGAAAGCTGTCAAACTGGATTCAATATTAGACAACATTTTTAATATTTTAGGCTCATATATTAGAATCTCGCATGGTTCAATTTATAACATAAACAGTAAAAAAACTAATTTGATCAACACACAATAAATAGTTAATCGATTTCTGAATGACAAAATGTTTTCAGTGTAAATTTGATTTCGTTTTGATGTTTTAAATAGTTTTCATTATGTTTTTTTCACTGTGCATTATCTAAATCATGAAATACGTCGATCAGTCACATACGCATTTTGTCATAATTACTTTGTTTTGCATCCTTAGTAAGAAATAGAAAAAAGAATCTTGTCTAAGAGCAAAATGAATGCATTCTTGTGGTTCTTTTTTTCTTCAAAATTATAAATTGTATATGTTCCCTCCATGTTGTATTTTAGCTAGGACAAAAGAAAGCCATAATAACTGAAATGGATTAATAATAATAAAGATTTTGCCAGTTATATTTTCGAAGTTCAATACCAAGAATGTATGTTTCCTTTCATGACAAATAATTCCATTAATTTCATTGACCTACGATCATTATTAAACGTTTCCTTTTGTAGAATGGAAGGAAATGGGAAACTATACTGAAAATAAATGATCACGTATGTCCTTGAACGTACATGTATATATCTAGTTGTAAATGCACTTCTAAAGACGTATTTATAAAACAATAAGAAAGAAAAAGTTGTACTTCATGGACTGGCCATGCAAGTATATTTTGAGCATGGGCCTAAGTAAGGCACCCAAGTGCGAAATACAAGCTAAGACGAGGATGTATGTTTTCTAGTGGTCATAGTGAAACAAATTTGTTCAGAGTTTTGAGCACATGAACTGTATATGCATTGAACACTCCTTTAATCTAAGCAATTCATATTTTCGCCATTTTCTTTTTCACTTAGTCTAGATATTACTTATAACTGTACCGTAAAAAACAATATTTTTACCTGTGCAAGTTATCGTTTCCTTGTATTAAATATAGCCTCCTCTACGCTTCTTCAGCTTTCAAATTCAAGTATTAAAATTGTCCTATTACATCTCGTTTCAAGCTTTTTATAAGTTAGATTTATTTAAACCATCAACAACACATCATAACACCCGAAGTAAAAATAATAGGTCAGTGTGATTGTACAACGAAGCAATGCTTGTATGACATATGGCGCCCGAGTTATGGGTGGTTGAAAATAGGTTACTTTGTTGAATAGATTTTTTTATTTTGTCCTTTGAAAATGTCCGATGTCAATTACCCCGAAGTTGTTTTTGTCACTGATGAAAGAGCACGGACAGTGAAACCTACATGGACGTAACTGGGATTTCTTCGAGATACACAGTCAAGCTGCCATTCGTATTGTAACATATTCTTTGAAACAGTCTGCGTATGCACTAATACGACCACTTCCGTCAATTTTGTTTTGACGTCAATAACACTGACAGTTTCATCGGGAATTTTTATCTGCAAATATAAATCACGGAAAATGAATGTGCACTTCGATGAGTGTGGACCTTGACATAAATGTCATAATTATGTCTGTCACCGTTAGGATATGTACCTAGCAATGATATGAATTACTGGACATTTAGATTTCAAACAAGGGCGCTTACTTTACTTTACTTGCCACATTCGGATGCTTCCATATCACGATTAATGTAGAAAAGTAGGAACTTACAATACCAGCACTTTTATGGAAGGCTAGGCAGATTATTCGGGTTTGTTTACTTTAGATACTGTTAGTGGGAAAGACAACCAACTCGAGTTGCATGTTATACAATTTGGTTACATTGTGTGAAGAAATAAGAACGTTGTAACACTTTTGATACAATATATTTGTTATTCAAACCGCGACGTCATCACAGTGTGGCACTGAGCGGTAAGCAAAGCCAGCTGACGGCCAGGCACCATGAGGATATATGGCTGCGCGCCACGTGGTTTATTCTCAGTGTTTTATTGTGTGATAAACTCGTCGTTTATTTCTTAAATTTACAAACTAGCAAAAATGGAAGAATGATTTTAGCTGAAAAATAGAATCCCACCCTCATGTCTTTTAGTATAATACATTTCAACACTCGTTGATCAAAAGACACGGGTGAATATAATCAGAGACCATATACCGATATATGGTCTCTTATATAATCTAGATCTATATGCGTGTATTTTCTCTCTGATCTTTACGATCTTTCTCTGAAAACCATAGCGTGTTTGTCTGTTTGTTGTTCAAATACCGCACACAGAAATCTTCCAGTCAATCCAGTGGATGACACGGCGAGCAGCAATCCACGCAGTTGGGACACGGTGACACGCCATGAACAAGTCACCGAGTCTGACCGTCTGATCCATTTACAGTCGCCTCTTACGATATAGGTTGCTGGTGACGTGTATTCTGACCCGGAATCCCAACGGGTCTTAAGTGTCTTCAAAGCAGACTGAAAGTAGTTCCTGCATAAAGTAGTGTCTTATTAGAACTAGAAAAAGATATCGATTTTGTATTTCCGATAAATACAGTATATCATCACAAAATTAGGTTACCTGGACATTTAGCCGAGCTACACTGAATTTGGAACACAACGACAACCACTGGATTCAATCCATGCCGCTTCACTCAATATGAAACCCGTGAAGATCTGGGTTAGAATAATTCTTCAGCAACCCATGCTTGTCCTCAGATGCGACTAGGCTTGTCGAAAGAGTCGACTAACAGGATCAGGTGGTCAGGCTCGCTGACTTGGTTTATGCATGTCATCGTATCCCAATTGCGCGGATCGATGCTCATGATATCCATCACTGGATTGTCTGGTCCAGACTCGATTGTTTACAGACCGCCGTCATATAGCTGGAATATTGCTGAGGGCGGCGTTAAACAACAAACAAACGAAACAATTACTCAATATAATATGGTTCGCGTTTCATATGGACTAAATGTAGCGCTATTAGAGCTAAATTAGGTTACATGTAAAATTAACCACGCTGACTTAGGCATAAGAAACTTCACGTTGTCCGTTCTGTTCCAATGTCAATATACATGCAGCATGGTTAAATTTACAGGTAACCTAATTTAGCTCTAACAAAGCTCTACATCGTTCCCATGATCATTGTGAATCAGAGTTGGAGATTTTTATCTGATACCTGTGATTGACCAATCAGAATCGAGTAGTTTCAAATATGCCCCAATTAATGCAGATCACTACACGTTCACCACGTTAGTGCACGGATATCGTGGGTATGGTGATGACAAAAATATAACATCACAACCAAGGCGAATTTTGCATTTTAAATGACGATCAAAGGATATTGGCACGCATCAGGAAAGCAACTCTGAAGTGAAGTGCGCGACTTGGCCTACCATATCCCAAGCCGTTCAGCCAAACGCAACTTCTGCAGGCAGGAGAATTTCGTTTCCACAACATGGAACAGATCGATCTCAGCAGCCGTACGGACCGCCTCCGTGGTCTTGTGGTAGACGTTAAAAGATGGTACTTGTTGTTACCCTGTCTGGCGCTCGGCATTAAATAATAACAAGGACTGGTCGGTTCGTAGTCAGTATACTGTGTCTGAGATGGGTATTCATGTTAAACTGCGGCATGGTATCTCAGTGAGCTAGCGCTATAAATCGACATCAGTCCGAACTAGTACAAGGAGTCACACACATGCACAAACGTGCATGCACGTCGCAATATAAGTTCAATAATCTTGAACTCGACGTTAAGCCCCATTTCACCTCACCTCACCAGCAGCCGCTGGTTTCAGATTACTGCTCAACCGAGCATGAAGGGACGAGTGATCGGTCGAATGAGTGAATGAGTTCGGGTTTACCGCCGCCTCTTACGATAGCATAGTCGCCTTTAACGGCAAACATGTGTTGCTGAAGACCTATTCTAACCTGGATCTTCACGGGGACTATTGAAGTAGTAACACAACATCAGATAATTGATCTGAACATTTCTGACTGATGGTTCTGAACAATCCTTTTCAAAAGATTTCATAAACGAATAGTCGCTTAAGACGCCCGTAACGCAAATAATTTAACATAGATTTACGACAATCGTAGCACTACCTGGAAAGGTCCCAGGCGTTAGGTTGACGTTATAGTGGGGATTCTGTGTTCGATAGCTCAAGTTAGTGACTGAGTGAGTTGATATTCAAAAAGAAAAATATGCATATAGTTGAGTAAGGCCGGAATGGAATGTTCTACAGTGAGTGAGTAGGTAGGCTGTAACGTCGCTTTGAACAGTTTTCCAGCATTTTCACGGCGTGTCAACTTCATGTGGGAGGAAAGCCCGAAGTGATGCAAGCCCCGACGTTTACCATTGTGGTGCTGACGAACCTAGAAACATAACTGGGGAGAACCGGGATTCGAACCCAGATCATAAGTGTCTGGTGTGCCCAAGTAAAGCAGGACAACGAATTGCGACGCCTGAGTCGACTTAGCCACCCGTGTCACCTCAAGACGGACATGGGTTTTCTTTCCCGCGGAACCCCATGGGTGAAAGAGTTAATACAGTGGAGGTACGCGGGTACACTATTTTTCTTTTAACGCTTCTTTAATACGTTCATAATTCAGACTGGGTGCAAACTTTACCTATAGTAAAATCTGTTTGTGATTTAACGCCACATTCAGCAATATTCCACTCTATGACGGCGGCGGTAAATAATCGAGCCTGTGCCAGGCAAACCAACTAGTATCATGAGTAGCAATCAACGCCCCCGGGGTACGATGATACGCAATCAACTTAACACTGAAGCAAGCATGAATTGATTTTGGCCAATTCGAACTCTGAATTCCCATGGAATAAATGTCGTAATATAAACAGAAAAGGTTATGTTACCGGCCGGCCGGCAAAAAGAATCAGGGCCATAAAATAATGCCAATGTCTTGGCAACCCCCAAACGCATTCATGTTCCACGTGGAAGCAGAAGTTGCTACAAGACTAGAACAGTTTTTAAAATAATGAGAGAGAAAACTGTCAAACATCCGCAAATACGAGCGAATACTTCTTTGTAAGTGATCAGAATCAAAGCATTTATTTTACGAGTGCTAATAATGTTTATCATCATAATCTCAAAGTGTAATTTCCCACATGATTAAATTTTTGTTATCGTATACTGACAAGTGATTATATTTTCATTCCGACACAGGTAAAACTCAGTGTGTGTCTGCATGGGGCAGGCAATGACCCACTTATTATGCAAATATAACGCACGTGCAAATCGTCCCGCAGCACGTGAGGTTGGCGTCTTGGGGCAAGGGACCAGATACTGGATTCATGAAAGCAAACGTAAGGCTTATTGTTGCACCTTTGTATTTCCTGTCAACACTGCACGTTCATGTGGTAATTGGATTACCTGTCGATTTCGTGCATTTGTTATTTCTCAGGTAAAAACGTCAAAACTTGGATGTCGTCTGGCGTGCTATCAATGTTAGAGGGAGAGTGCGGACACTCGTACCTCACATCATCATTGGCACTTGACAAACAAGCAGAGGCTTCACAAAGAGCATACGAGTTACAAAAAGGCTGATACTCACGATGACTACCCATGTTAGCGTATGTATTTATCAGAGTTTATCCGTTAATGAGGTAACATCCACAACGTTCAATAGTTATTGTTCATTTGAGTGATAGTTTGTCAATGAGTTATACCAATTTAACGTTGCAATGCCATTATCTCAGCCACTTTGTGGTATGTTCTTAGTTTTTTTAACAAATAGGTAGCAATAAGGGACCTACTGCTTGTTACTTCAAACTTTTGCAATCATACCCGCGTATGATATTCTGTTGAAATCAGACATTTTACAGCAATCATAACCATACCAGCTACATGTATGATCATTTATCATGGTGGTGTGAGGTACTTTATTTTCGCCATCGAGCGTATTAGAAATATAACCCAATTAGTCATGCATTTTCAGTCCTTATACCCATGAAAAAATAGAGGACCCTCCTTTTCTGACCACCAATTGTTTAAGGCTCCCTCTACCCCATTCCTGTCACCAAGCCAACAATTTCAACCCTAACCCTAAAATGTACTTATTTTAGTCATAATTTTATGTTTGTTATCCTTTTAACTTATTTTTCACTTTGTACAATTTAATTATTGTGCATCTCATTATGCATTTTATTGAAATCATCCTGTAATTTCACCATTTGTCATTATCATCTTAAGAATTCTGTCAGAAACAATGTTTGTTTCAGAACGCCAATATTCCAGCTATCAAGGTGGAGGACTTTGATAGTGGTGAAGGTCTTGTGGGTGGGTCTACAGCTGCCAACAATATGGAGATACTGAAACACATCAATGCTTTATTGGACAACTCCCTTAACATGACAAACCTTGCAGGCAGTATGCTGCCACAGGAACGGGCAAGAGGTATGTTTCAGAAATGTCCATATTCTTTAGGGACCAACTATTTGATATTCTGGGGTTTGGGGTGCATGGAAGTACAAGGTTTTTGCTTCATATTGTATCCTCCAAACCTATCCACTCAACCTCCTGCAAAGAAATGGGTTTTGGGTACAGGAGATGATTGGCTTCTCTTCACAAAGAAGGTTTTTTTTCTTTAAGCAGAAAGAATGTTTCTTTAGCAACAGCACTCAGTAAGACGGTAAAACCTTCATCTTCCGTCCATCCATCTTTATTTTCCAGAAACACTGACTACTAGTCAAATATCGTTTGGAGAATATCTTTGTCCGGAGTACAGTAACATGGTACATACATGATTCATTGATCTGGAAATATGTTAATCCAGAAGATTAAACTTTGAACAGTATTATCAGGAATAAGGAGCTTTCACCATACAGCCTTTAGCCATTCACATATCATGTTTACCTCTTCCAGAAGTAATGCCACAGATGCCAATGTATGCTGCCAACCCTTCAGCCGACTACCAGTCCCTGGTTGGCTACAACACTGTTCCACAGTCATCACAGGCTACAACTGCCTATCCTGGTAATAGTGAGAGTGAGTTAAATGTTAATGTCGCATTGGCATTATGTGGGCCACATGGCGACTATCCTGGTAACAGCACTTGATACAAACGATAATTTGTCATCATAAGTTAAAGAAAAAAAGGGCAGAGAAAACAGTATGCCATGCATTGTTAGTTTAATTGTGATAATCAGAAAGTTTTCGTATGCTCAATTACGAGAATATCTTTTTTTGGCATGTTTATTTTTTTAAAGTTTGGCTTTTGACCTTTACATACCCTTTTAACTATTTGTACTGCATTTTTGACAGCTCCTGTAGAAATGTTTGGTTATATAGTAGATTTTATTGGTGTATATGATCCCAGAAAGTCTCTTAAAGACTCGTGACAATATTGTGATCTTAGTTTTGGCATGTCCAGTAGCCATATTTGTACCCAGGACTTGGCTCTTTCTTTATGTATCTTTGAGCTTGATATAAAACATTTGCCAAAGCTTCACATTTTGACCCTCTCTTCAGCCAGTTCTCCATGTATCAATGTGTGATTTATGTACCTACAGACAGGATGTGGTTTGAACTGCTGACCTTTTTGTTTTTTAAATGTTCTTGTTTACCCTTTTAAGACATCTGATTCTCTGTTATATGCAATTAATTAAGTGAGCTGTAGAGCCTTGTGGTTTTATATATTTATTGTATGGAACAACAAATATTGCATCCATATATTTGTTCAATTTCTTGTATTATGAGAAATATAGAGGTAAGAAGTGTTATCTTCAATGGGCTGATAAATTCGACAGAAACTACAAAGTACAAGTAGTTAATAAATCTAACCAGTCCTCTTCCCTCCAGGCTTCCAGCTGTTTTCCCCAACATCCCATGCAGCAGCAGCTGCCTCCCTCCAGCAGTACGGCATGTACAGCCCCACCGACACCATGGGCTACTCCACCCCACAGCGCTACCCCAGGGCCATCAAGGGGGAGAGGACAGCAAGTACAGCTTCAAGGTACCAGGTCTCCACATAACTATACTCAATAGATCCAATTATCATTCACATTGGGTTTTCTTTGGTAAGTCAGTGTACTTTTTCTTTCTTGAGTCCATTTTGTTAGGTAATTTCATGTTAGTAATAACCTATTTTAAAAATACTTCTGCTTAAAACCCCTTTCAGGGGACATTTTGTTCATTATCCACTGCAATAGTTTATGTACATGTGATGCTTGCATTTGATCAGTTAGTAAAGATCTGTAAACAAATATGTGTATGCAGTTGATAGGTTACATATGATAATTACATACAGTGGAATCTGCCCAATTCGGACTCCTTTGGGACCGGTAATAAAGTCTGGGTTAAGGCGAGTACAAAACGTTGGACTGAAGACAAAACAAAAAGCAACAATATATATGTCCGAGATATGGCTGCTTACTAGAGCCATACTTCCTGCTCATGACAGAGTTAATCTAATTAAGCTGAGTTTCTCATCAACAGGTGAGTAAATTCTAACTAAGCAGACAGTGTTAAGATCAATAGTATTACATGCAGGATTAGCATTCTTACATTAGCTGACAATGACTGAGCTTACTTCAAAGGGAGAGAACATTCGGTCTGGTCCGGTCCAGTGCAATTTTGACAGCTTCTTTTCAATAGTAAAGTGGTTGTTGGGGCCATAGTATTAGTCCAAAGTGTAAAAAGTCTGATTTAGAGAATTGTAGTTTGAGGAGTGACAATTTATTGGGGGACTGAGAAAACGTCCGGTTTTCACCGAAATCCAAATTTGAAAGTCTGAATTAGACAGAAATGTCTGTACCTTGGTTATATATATAGTTGTATGTTTGTTTTTTTAGATTCCTATGTATTCGTGCAAGCAACTCAAACATTAGTAATTGTGATGTGTAATAAGCAACTCAAAGTTATAATAGGCTGTTTCAACAAAAACCTGCTATTTTAGGTCATGATTAAAACCTTTCAAGCCCTTTGTTTAGAGCAACCTGCTGAACATTGCAAAATAGCTGACTGAAAAACCAAGCACCATACTTGACCTCATAGTTTTTACCAGAGTGGTGAGGGGCGGTCGGGTAGCCTAGTGGTTTCAGCATTCGCTCGTCACGCTGAAGACCTGGGTTCGATTCCCGACATGGGTACAAAGTGTGAAGCCAATTTCTTGTGTCCCCCTTAGTGATATTGCTGGAATATTGCTAAGACCGGCGTAAAACCACACTCACACACACACCCACACCAGAGTGGTGAACTGCTATTTCAGCTTCACTTTGGCTTTGGCTCACATGTGTTAAATGAAGACAGTGATACGACTAAATATTGTTCATAGCTCCCGGTCTAGTGGTAGAGCGGAAGGTCCGGGGTTCGAACCCCGGCCGCGTCATACCAAAAGACGTTAAAAGATGGTACTTGTTGTTACCCTGTCTGGCGCTCGGCATTAAGGGGCTAAACAAGGACTGGTCGGCTCGGAATCAGTATACTGTGTCTGAGTGGGGTATTCATGTTAAACTGCGGCATGGTACCTCAGTGAGCTAGCACTATAAATCGGCATCAGTCCGGACTAGTACAAGCAGCCACACAAACACACACACGTACATGCACGTTGCTATATAAGTGCAATAATCTTGGACGCGACGTTAAACCCCATTTCACCTTCACCTATTCATAGCTCCCCTAAACTGTCACCCATTCTGGTTTCACACTTGGTCATGGTGTGCTTATGTTAATCTCATTTCTTGTAGTGATTATGGATCGATGTCTCCAGTAAGCCCAATGAGTGACATGAGTCTCTCTCCTATGGACAAGATCATCTATTCCACACTACTGTCGGGCAACAGAGCCAATCGCAGTCCTTCACCATGTGAGTCGGACACAAGTGGACTAAGTAGTGAATGTTCAGACCCTGCACTCCTTGACATGATGGTAAGTCAAACTCTTACACTGAAAACTTTAGGGTAAAGTTTTAGGCCAAACAATGAAATATGTTTTAGGTAAGATGGTCCCAGCAGATTGTCAGAAGATGGGTTTTCTTTATCATTTTAATGTCCAACACAGATACCTTTTTTAGGATTAATGTTAGTTGCAGGTTTCATGACTTTAATCCTTCGTATTTGTGGCAATTTATATATAAAATACTCCTATTGATACAATATATTGCCAATCTGGTACTTTGATACGAAGACATACAAATAACTGTCAACAGAATGTTCAGAATGACATTAGACAGGGTACTTTCAAGGTTTATTTCTATATCTGAAATAATTTTAACATTTTAACAAATCCCATTCACTCATCCACTTTTATGTTGCAGAATTCATTGAGCATTGGTGGCAAGTTGAATATCCGTGGTCCCCAAACTGACATGACAAGCCAGCTGTGCCAGAGCATGCAGTCTGTTCAGATGGCCAAAGATGCTCTGGTTCCCCTGGAGTCTAGTCAGCTGTTGCATGACCAGGCCTGGCATTCACAAGCCATCACTCCCTTCCTCAACATGACCAATGTTGACCCATATGCCATAGACAGGGCTGCCAGGCTACACAGAAATGCTGCTGGTAGGCTTTTAAAATCAATCAACAACATATATCTAATTGAAATATGACCAGATAGGTCTCATTGTGACTTGAAATAACGTCCTTTGTCAGCAACATTTAAAAAAACCCATTTGAACCTTTAAGCGATGGCGAACTGTGTACACCTTATTGAAGATTTTTTCTCATATTTGGTCTAGTCTCAGTGACAAACATGACTTTTTTTTACAAAACTATACATATTGAAACAGTGACCATCACTGTTTATTGCTAAGGTTATATTTCAATTGGGGAATATTTCTCAATTGTCGGAACAAAGACGTCTGTATGAAATGGAATAGAGACAAGTAATCATGGCAACATGGAATTATTGATACTTTGAATACCAAGTCACTTTGCCTGCAGAATCTAATGCCTGGTCATGGATTTGTTTCCAGTGCAGCCTGTAAGCATGGAAGGTATTGCGCTTAAAACATGCAAACTGTTGAAGGTTTAATATACATCCTTCGTAGTTAGCTCAGAGCTTTTCAGCCACCCCAGATATGAGGAAATACTAAAGCAGCTTGAGCTATTTTGCAGTGTCAGCAGGTCACCTGAAACAAATGCTTTATTATTGTGGCCTTTTTTTGCATTGCTGTTATATACACCAAGGTTAATTGATAACATGCATTACAGCGAAAGTAACAAAATCAGATGGTGACCCAAATATTCAGTGTCATTGCCTTACTTGGACTTTAAGAACTATCTATCAGTTCCGAAAGTGCAAGTCTCTTAACAGTTTTATGGATTGAACAGCTGCTTGTGAAATGATCTTGGTAGTGTCCTGTTGATTTTGTTTGCAGCTGTAAGTGAGGCAAGCTGCACATGGAGTGGTCCATTGCCTCCAAGAAACCACAAGAACCCAACATACTCTCCCAAAGTGTTTCTTGGAGGTGTTCCATGGGATATCACTGAAGGTATCTTTATCAAATAATGCTATCATTCAGTGCAATGGAAGTTGTAATAATTTCCAAAGATTTGAACATTAGAACCCATTTTGGGATTCATTGTCAGAATAAGTTCCAGCACCTGATGATTGGCATAAGGAGGAGATTAATATCATTGGGTGGTCAGGCTCTGAAAACCTCATTAAAATAAGGTCTTAGTTCTCGCTTAAGGACAAGTCAATTAGGTGGAGTTGTTGCAATGGCTTGAATCATCCTAGTCGATTATGATTTTAATATAGCATTAGTACCCATCTTATCCCCTTCAATGAGTTGTCTGTAGTACTGACCAAATTAAATAACCGAACATTGTAATTTGCCGACATCGCAACTTGTTGTCCGTTCAGTGTTTTTACCTGGAACTGTTCCTAATATTTTTGTGCATGTGGAACTTACTATCACCTGACAGTATTTGTATTCATGGCAAAGTTGGGTCAGAACATTGACTTCAAATTTCAAGTTTGATTTCTTCAAGCTGGACTTCAAGCAGCCTTTAACAAGTTTGGATCTCTCAAGATAGAATGGCCAGGGAAAGACGGTAAGATGACAGTTATACCGATTTTAAAAATGGTTGCCGAGTTATACAGCACCCATCTTTGTAATGTCTGCTTAAAGTTTGACCGATTCCAGTGAGTGAGTTTTATGCCACTTTTAGCAATATTTCAGCCATATCAAGACAGGGTACACCAGAAATGGGCCTCACACCTGTTACCCATGTGGGGAATCAAACCCAGGCCTTCAGCCTGATGAGCGAATGGTTTAGCTACTAGGCCACCCTGTCGCCTCGGATTCCAGATTCAGCTTGACTATTCTTGGTTTGTCACGTGAATATTTCCAAAGTGGTGAACTTCTATCTTCATCCCACATATATAGCTCTGGTACAGTTTGAATCCAAACATTTTAGGACAGAATGGCTTATTGGTCAGCTTTGTTAGTATTGAAAGGCAACTGTTTCTTTAATGTAAGGCGGCATCGATGGTCCAGGCATCTCGGGTGTCACCATTTCCTGTGCAGTTACATTCCTTAGACATGTCAGAAACCTGTTTGTGTGTTCAAATCCTAGTTCCACCCTCGTGTATGATTGTCCTTTGGTCAATAGCCAAGGTGTATCATGTATTTCAGTCTCCACATCAACAAAATAGGTTATAGATGATGTACATGCCATCAATGTTTTCTCTTCACATATTTTGGTAGAGATTTGTCTCACAATGGCCATAACAATTCTGTGTTACAGTAAACTACGGTTATTATAAACAAACCCAAAGGGACCACTTAGTTTATTTCGTAATAACCGTAGTTTATTATAAGCATATATACAGCATATATACAACAAATGTCCGGGACAATAAAATAAGTTTGTTATATCGGTCTGTTCGTTATAAGTGTTTGTTATAAACATAGTTTACTTACTTGTTTATCTTATCATTAAAGACAACACATGTCTCATCAAAATAATGACAATGCGTAAAACTGACAGAAGATGTTTCTCTGCAGCTATTTGAAGTCAAAGGGTATTTTTATAATGGAATTTAGAACTTTTTGGTTATCCAGATAATTCAGGGTAAATGATAAATGCCCTTCAGCAAGCCTCTGACAGCTCTGTTGATTCTGTTTGTATTTTGACACTTTCTCAAAGCCTGTGTATAATTATCAGACAAATGTTGACAAAAAAAGAAAGCTTATGAAGTACTGTGAAATGCCAGTCTGTGACTTTAGACACATGTCCGAATCTCAAGTCTAGTAAAACTGTTCAGCTTGAAAAGCTTTTCTAAAAATATTGCATATGGTCACACAAACCTTCCTTATGATGCTTAGTCAGATATAGGCTACTGGACTCCAAACATTTTGACACAACTGAAGTGCAATGATATCTCATCATTTACTCATTGTTTTGCCAGTCTGTGATGGTGTTTCATTTCCCTGTTTGTTCCAGGGTACGTGTACCTCCTGTTCGACAATGAGAAGTCTGTTAAGTGCCTTCTGCCTGCCTGTACACACGACTTCAGCAATGGTGACTACTATTACAAAATCTCCAGCAGAAGAATGAGGTCCAAAGAGGTGAGAACATCTCGTATCATTTTACTGTTTACTGTCAAGGATTGGTTAGTTATTATGGAATGACTGTGAATCCAAAGTTAGAGCCCATTTCAACAGTTGCAATTATGAACAGTAAGCTGAAACAAATGTTTCCATGTTTAGTATTTAATGTGGACACGAGATTATCTGGATCTGTCAGGTCAAATATCTCCAAGCCTGCAGCAAATCTCTGCAACTTCCTCAATGGGAGATTTGCCTATTGATGTTAATGTGATGGCTTGGTCAAGGTTACTTGTATATCGCTGATAACTGAAAGAGGCTTTAATGCTGATTTAAACTTTGCATTGAATGCATAATTAGAATACAATAACTGACAATAAGAAATATCTGGATATATTTGGGAAAGAATTACACTATTTCCCCCAGTTTGACTGCCAATGGTATCCTATGTAAATATCCCTGCCAACTTACTTTGTTATTTAAGGTCCAAGTGATTCCCTGGGTGCTGGCAGACAGTAATCATGTGAGGTCCCCCTCCCAGAGGCTGGATGCCCAGAAGACTATCTTTGTGGGAGCCCTGCATGGCATGATCACTGCCGAAGCACTGGCCAGTATCATGAATGACCTGTTTGGGAATGTTGTCTATGCTGGCATTGACACCGACAAACACAAATATCCTATTGGTGAGTGTATATGACAGCAAGACTTCTTGATTTTTAATGTCATTCTGCACTTGTTTGTGGATGGAGGTGGTAAACTTCAAATTAAAAATATTTGGAAGATATAAAAAATATCTGGAATACAGCCGTCCAACTTGGCCTGGGAAATTCATACTTAAACTATTGGGAGACAGTGAGTATCTTAAATCCATTTCCGATTTTTTATATGCTTCATGCTTCTTTGTTCAAAGGGTCAATCTGACTATTTACTTTCTGTAACAGTGCTTTGTCATAGGTGTTTTTTAAGTGTCTTGATTTTAGGCCTAATTAGTTATTTTTCACTTCAGAGCAAGATCATGTTTCACTTATCTTATTTCCATCTTCTGGCAATGTTTATGATTATTGCAATTTGTATTCAATCATTTTTTTATAAATTTGAGATATAAAATGGTAGTCTACAGCACGTTCCTTTGGCGATGAAAAAAAAAAATGTTAAGAAGATAAGTGGTGGAAAATTTGCAATAACTCCTTGAAGTTGGAATTTACCTGCACTGCCAATGGCAAGAAGTCACCAGACCCGTGAAGAACCCATGCTTGCCGTAAAAGGCCACTAAGGGGATCGGGTGGTCAGGCTCGCTGACTTGTTGATGTATGTCATCGATCCCAATTTCGTCTTCAAACAGTAGAAACTGTATTTTATTTTCGGTATTTGTGACTCGATTTATGTTGCAATTAATGTTACTAGATTGTATAGATATATCCTGGCAATACCAAATTTCAAACATGAATAATTCACTGAATATTTTAAAATATGTGTAACATACTGGATTATGTGCATTGACAACTGAACTAAAATACCAATTACATTATTATTTATGTATTTCTGTTAATTGTCGACTTTAGGAGGAATTATGAGTCAGTCAAATTTCGAGGTCTTCCACAATGTGTGTACAGATCATGATTTAATGTATTAGTGACCGTTAATTTGTGTTTGATGTCAATCACTGGATTGTCTGGTCCAGACTCAATTATTTACAGACCACCATTATATAGCTGGAATATTGCTGAGTGCGGCTTTAAACAACAACAAAACAACCAAAACAAACAAAAAAGTAGTCACTAAGAGTGGTTATTATGTGAGTTCATCATTACATGTTTTCAGTAGTATTTCCGTTGTCAGCTGATTTGGACAAGTAAAATAATGCATAAGTAAAATTTTGAGATAATGTTACTTGTGATTCTGCTATGCTTACTGTTTACTTCTATCTGCTGATTGTTGTCCAGGGTCAGGCCGTGTTACATTCAGCAGCAAGAAGAGTTACATGAAGGCAGTCCAGGCTGCTTTCATAGAGATCAAGACACCCAAGTTTACAAAGAAGGTAACACTGCTGTTCTCACGATCATGCCTATCTTTAGGCTAGATTTGTTGTGCAAAGTTGCTCATACTCAGATTTTCATTGGAAGTTCTGACAATCTACCTTTTTAACCCTGTTGAGTCATATTTGTTTGGCCATGTCAGAAATCCAAAGGTTGCAAGAGTAAGAAGAAAAAGGGCTAGGGGTCAGTCATTTGAATATGTTTGATAATTTTTCAAACCAATATTGCAAAGTTTTCCCACAACATTAAAACTACTTTAAAATCGGTTGTCCAAACAGGCCGCTATCTTACCTGCTCCTTTCATACTTATTCTAGATGATTCAAGTCAGTCTGTTTTGAGAGCACCTGAGTGCTCAAGATAATTTTTCAACTTCAAAAGTTTGTACTCCTTAAATCTGTGATGCCAGAGTAATGACATAGTATGAGGAATACATAACACTTTATAAAGCTAATAATGCTCAAACATTGTTTACTAACTTGAATGTCACTCGACCAGCTGGCAGCAGTCCTGATATTATTTGCATAATTTGCTGAAAAGCTTATGGGAACCTGACGTTTTATCATGAACAATTTCTAACCATGGGTATAACTTCTGCCATGATTTATCTGTGCGGTCTTGAATGTGACTACATTTACAGCTCTGAGCGACATTATCTATCAGCTCATTGCTAAAACCCACAACCGTATCTCATGTGGTAGATAACACCGAAGGTGAATCTGTAGTGTTGTTTTGCAGAAGAAATTCCTATTTGACTATTTTGCCATTATCAATGAATATTTGCCAATTGCATAAAAAAAATACAGAAGCTGCTTTAAGATTGCCCTAGCATTTGGATTTCACAAATGAAGTATTCCCATACACATAGATTTTTACCTTGCCAGTGTAATACAATCACTGATGTATATTTTGAAGAGCAATGTAATTTTGTAAACGTGAAAGATATTGCCTAAAGTAAAATGTAGGACGTATTTACTCTTTTAAAACCATATAAGTATGTTTTCTAACTTAACTGCACTCATCTGTAATTTTTCTAGTTGTACATACACCAATACTAACCTTTTCTTGAGCATTGAGGACTACATGTTTGACCATGTCATGTTCATCTTCTTACATTCTATGTGTTTCCTTGATAGATCCAGATAGACCCTTACCTGGAGGATGCCATCTGCTCGCTGTGTAGCATCCAACAGGGGCCCTACTTCTGTCGAGAAATGCAGTGCTTCAAGTACTTCTGTCGATCATGCTGGTACTGGCAGCATGCCCTTGACACCATGAGACACCACAAACCTCTCACAAGGAACACCAAGAATTCCATTCCATTTTAAGGAAGAGGTAATTTTTATTTGTGAAGTTGGATGTCTGTAGTGAAACGATGTTATATTTTAAGTTTACATCATCAATACTTTACGGTTTGGGTCCGAGTTGCATCCCTTGGGTACGCCAGAAGACTGTGATTGTAGGTTTGAATCCCTGTTCAAATCGTGTTTCCCCACGATTGTTTCTAGACTTTTTAGCACTAGATCCATGCTCGTTGGTTTCACCGAAGTGGTAAGTCTTAAACATGCATCAGTTAGGGCTTTCCTCCCACATTATGCTGACACACCATGACAACTGGAATACTGTTCAGAGTCTTGTTCAACCCAAGTCCTCGTCCATCAGGTCAAATCCTATCCTGTCTATTTCCATCCTAAACTCATCGCTTTCGTATTCAGTCAGCAGTGAAAGCGGTTTATCATATTTGTATAAGAAGCAGTTTTAAATACTCTGCTTTTCTAGCATGCCTAGATCTCATCTGTTCTCCACTTACTGAAACAATTAAGTCATGTCATAAAGTTGTCCCTCTTCAGTGTCTGGTTTAGAATTGGTCTTCAGCATTTAGATGTGAGGCTTGTTGCCTTTGTTGATACTTGTCATTGCATCTTGTAGCGACGGCTACCGTGGTCTAGTGGTAGAGCATCCGCCCGGGGATTGGAAGGTTGGGGGTTCGATCTGCAGCCTCGTCATACCAAAAGAAGTTAATAGGTGGTACCTGATGTTACCCTACCTGACACTCGGTATTGAGGGGTTAAAACAAGGACTGGTCGGCTCGGAGTTACTAGCGTGTCTGAGTGGGGTATTCATGTTAAACTGTGCCATTGTATCCCAGTGGGCTGACTCTAAAAAAATCGGCATTAGTCCAGACTAAAGCACACACGCACTTGCAGGCACATCACAAAATAAGTGCAATCATTTTGAATGCAATGTGAAACCCCATTACACCTCAATTGTGAAGATCGATGCTTGTGATATTGGGTTGTCTGGTCCAGACTCGATTATTTACAGACCGCCGTCATGTAGCTGGAATATTCCTTGGTTAATTGATCTGCAAACAAATTCCAGTTAAATGTTTTTTATTGCTGCGATAAATAATTAAACAATTAAAAATAGAAATCACAAATTGTTTCCCAGCCAATGCTGTACAGAGAATTATCGAGACCTGCTCAAGGGCCTATGCTCGGCCCCAAATCTGAAGCAAATGTAGGTAAAATTTCCCAAATTGGAATTAAGGATTTGCAACATCACGTTATTATTGAAATAACAAAGGTTATTACATTGCAGAGGCAAGTTGCATTTCACTGATAACAGAACAAATGAACAAGAGACTTTAAGGCTTCGTTTTACATTGCACAGAATTAAGTATTAAAATACCTCTGAATTTAAAATAAGGGCTTTAAGGAACACTTACAGTTTTTCCTCACAATTCATCTTATTTTTTATGCATGCATAAGCCCTTAATAATCAATTTAATTTGTGAAAGAAAATCCTAATAGTGCTTCATTTATTGAAAAAGTATGATCATGGTACCTTTAATATATATACTACTCAAAAGAAGTTAAGGAACATCCGATTCTTTCAAATGGCTACAGATAATCTCTCATGCCATGACAGATTAACTTGATAGTCACATGTAAGAATAGTGTTCCTTAACTTCTTTTGAGTAGTATATATATAACCACCTATTAGTGCATGACAGCTAATTGTCTTAGATTAAAAGTCATTAATCTGCAAGTTAATATAATTCCACCTTTCAGTAGTACTTGTCCCTTCATCAGGTGAAGATTGAATGGACTAGAAGTTGCTTTGCACCATTATGTACAACAGGTGGGCAAGATGAGAAACTTTTGTTTCACCTTCATTGAAGAGCACAATAGCGAGGGAACACTTTCCATCTGGTACTGGAAATTTTCCTCTGCTCAATGAACCCAAAAGGTGCAACTAAATGGTTTGCATTCTTAGCTCACCTGACTGAAAGTCGTTGTGCATTGACTGTCTGTCTGTCTGTCCACTGTTAACTTTTGTATTTTCGTCATCTCTGAAACCACAAATGTCTATAAAACTAAAACTTTGCATAAATGATCACTAAAACTTAGCACACAGAATTAGGAACCAAATTTTAATATAGTAGCCATCGCAGCCTGTCTCATTTAGATTGGATCTTTTGCTCTAATATGGTACATCTCTGCTTGAAGATAGGTCACCTCCATGGGGAGTCGCATCGGGTGAACATCTTGGTGCAAATGAGAAGCATTCAGACAATATCTGATTTATGTACGACAGAAAGGAATATTATGTTTGTTGTTTAATGCCGCACTCGGCAATATATTTCAGCTATATGACGGTCTGTAAAATAATCGAGTCTGAACCAGACAATCCAGTGATAGACATCATGAGCATCGATTCACACAATTGCGATCGATGACATGTATCAACCAAGTCAGCAAGCCTGACCACCCGATCCCATTAGTCGCCTTTTACAACAAGCATCATCGCCTTTAACGGCAAGTATGGGTTGCTGAAGACCTATTCTACCCCGGAATCTTCAGTTCAAGGAATATAATGAAGGAAATCTGAAAGTGAAAAAGATATTGCTGGTCTATTTTATTGCTGTGGAAATTTTTTTAGTCCTGTTTGTGAGTGCCATGGCATCTATTCCCAAAAGGTTTACCATGGAGTGTATGTTTGTATTCTGTGGTTTTCTTTGCCAGAGTTCAAAATTTCCAAGTCAGTGAGATGTGAAGCATTATTGTTTTAGAAAGCTGACATTTTTTATTAATAATCTGAAGAACCTATACATCCTTCATTTTGATTGGGCAGTCAACTTTCTCTTTCTCAGGTCTTGACAGGTATCATAATGGAGTTAAAGATCAGATTTTGAAGATATTGCCAACTCAGCTGGAAATACTCATAAATATCTTATTCTCCTCTGATACTGCTTGAATGATAAGTTTGAAATTTTGTATACAGGTTCCTTCATGTTATTTGAAGACATTTTATCTTGTTCAGATCGATAGGATTTTGTAAGTTTGTTCGTTAAAAATATATATAAAATCAGTTTTACAAACAAATCTTACTCTTAAGAACCACAGAGTGCAAAAACTGAGACGTTGTGTGAATTGTAAGATCCATGTTTGTTTAAAGCATCTTGATTGTAATAAAGGATGTTGCAAAATTATTTTTCCTTTTCCAGGAATCTTTACACAAAAATAAGGTTGAAGTGTCATATATATTATTTCGTAAGGTGAACTACAGAGCTTCTGTGCTCTATTACTAGGCTATCTGAACCATATGTTCAGTGAATTGATGTCATGGCATGTTTGTCTGACATCTCTAAGTGAAATATCCCCTCATTAGCAAGTAACGCCGCGATATAACTGGAATACTGTTAAAAGCGGCGTTAAACCCAACTCACTCACTCATTTGCAAGTAGAAATTTACTATCATGTTCCTGTTGATGTTTACAGTAAGTTTGTTCAAATGCATCACCCCTCATTGAATGGCTCCTTTTCTTAACATTCTAACTGCTGTTCTGAATGTGAAAAGTAGAGCGACAGAAAAGTAGCAATATAAAAATACTTTTTGACTGGTCTGATCTAACAAACCCAATGGGTTAGTTTTTCCTGTATATTCCATGTAAATCTTTGCAAGCCATGCCAACTATATTTTTTATCTTATGATGTAACTGTTACATTTTGTTTTGTTGTTTAATGCCTGTGACACTCATCAATTGATTGCAGCTATATGAACACCCTACCACTGGAGCCACATCAAATATTTGGTAGTATGCACGCACAGCATGACTCATAAAAGAAACATTCACAGCCACGGTTATTACTTTATTAAAGATTACTCTTTATTTGACATGCAGCTCTCAATATACCTGGTGAACAATGGTACTGACTTATATATAAGTGTATTTGCCATAAGAAGTTAAAGAACACCCAATTTTCATATTCACCTGTGAAGATCAGACTCAGAATAGGCCTTCAGCAACTCATGCTTGTTGAAAGGAGACTAACAGGATCTGGTGATCAGGCTCGCTGACTTGGTTGATGCATGTCATCGTTTCCCAATTGCCTAGATTGATACTCATGTTAATCACTAGATCGTCCAGTGCAGATTTGATTATTTTGAGACCGCCCTCATATAGCTGGAATATTGCTGTGTGCGGCAGTTAACAAACATGACTTTTTAATGTCATGGCTGATGGGAGTTCTGCACCACACAGCCTTCCAATTGTGGGTGATCTTAAACTTGTTTTGAGTAGTATATGTAATGTTCAAGACCCCTTAGCACTGAAACTGACAACTGAATTTTGTGTTTCAGGGTATATATTCCAGACATCCAGTTGCTTGTGAGACTTGAAGAGGTTGCTTATTTTTTTACCCTGGTCATGTGATAACCTTTACCTATTGGACACCTGATATTTTTCCTATGCCACTATACTCTATTGTTGGTTTGTTGAATAACAATAACTTGTTTTGTACATAAGTGCTGTTTTCTTTGTTTACATTTGATTTTGTTTACCAGTGTCTCAAATGAATTTTGTTATAAATGAGACATTGATGATTTTCCCTGATTGATTATAGTTTCAGATGAACAAGATGTATCAATATTTTATTTTTCTTATCCCATACACTAGTCTCGCCCATTTCATAGACATTTTATATTATGCTAGCCTTTTAGGAACATCATTACAGATAGTCTTGATACCAGAAATACATACTTTTAGAAGTTTTATAACAGTTGAAAGGAAAGTGTTTAACTCCTGGAATGTGTCAAGTTACAATTTAGGAAATATAACATGGCAATCCTTAGTGTGATTAAGGAAATGGTTGAAAATTGCTAATCTTTTAATCTCCAATCAGACCATATATGGTATATGCTTGTCTCAAATACATGAACAGGGGTTGATTGAATAGCTGGGTTTGTGGCCAGTAGAAATGGCAGAGGCTATGTAGGCCATTTAATAACCTATCTGCACACATTCACAGGTTTATAAATAGGCTTGTAATGTTCTGGAATTCTACATATAAGCAATATGAAGTTGATTATTGCAACTAAGAAATAAGACCAAGACCCACATTGCCACAGATAAACACAATGGGCTGAAAGCAGTATTTGGTTTATTCATATGACCCAGTGTGCTTCCTTGGAGGACCATTGATGGGGCATTGATGGCCCATGTGTACAGGCCCTAAGTTTGCTGAAATGCTAATTAAATAGACATTAAGCTCAACACTCACTGAAGCAGTTCTTTTCAATGCTTTGCTAAAAATCCACCCCAAATTAAAATGAAATATACACCAGGAGCAGTTTTATCAATGTGTTAACATCTTTTTATAAGCATTAATCATCCCATTGTACTTTCTAGCCTCAGATCAGTTCAGGTTTATTTAGTATGAAGTTATTTTATTGAAACATGATTATTTTTACTGTGACATTTGACCTTTGTATCCATCATTTTCAGGTTTTGACTGATAGCATAGTTTCTTTCTTGCACAACACTCTCTGGTCCTGTTGGGTCTTAACACTGAATCCTTAAGTTTAATTGCTTTGAACTTGGATGGCACAATATGGCATGTTGACAACATATATATTGTTGCTATCTTTTTGCTCATTTTTGAAGGTTGTAATTGTATCTGTCCTATTTTTGTTATTTGAGTTGGTATGTTAGATCAGTTATTTCTAAACAAATTGAGAATTGAATGGAAAATACTCTATTCCCCGTAACAATTGTATTTTGTAAAATCTGTATTTTCACAAAGTTTAATCATACAGAAATTTGGAAGATTATAAAGTTTTGTTTGTCTGATCAGGCGAATTATACATTTCTTTAGTAGAAGATACCAAAATTTGAGATCTTAGACAGTTAAGAACTAAGTGTAAAACATGAAGTTCAGCCAACAAAGACCTTTTGTCTCCAAAGTCACCATGATAATAAATCAGCCTGCAATGTTAAGCTTTATCCCAAGTACCTTTCCTTTTAATTGCAAATGCAAGTCAGTCTATTTTTGTTTTTCATTTCATAGCAAACTATTTAATGTTTGTTCCGTCTGGGACTTTTTTATGTTTCTTTTGTGAATTTACAAGTGACTTTGAACCCATTAAATATGTTCAGTTGACTCATTTGCTAAAGTTCTTGTATCATATTTTTTTTTGTATTGAAATGCTTTTCAATAGTTACAAAAAGTTTTATCTGGAAGATTGGTTAGAAATGTGATACAGATAGATTATGAATTACTGATTGTACCCACACAAAAAAAATGTTTCACATAATTTTGTGAAATTCATCTAGTATAAGAAGTTTATCAACAAAAGTTTGGGTTAACAGTGTACATATATGTATTGTTACATGTAGTTACCTGTTTGTGTTTATTTTGCACAGTTATAAATTAATGCACTTGTTTTGTTTGAAATAGTTCAGGCTATGAGTTGATGGTCTCAGTTTTCAGTTGGCCATATTTCTGCTTATTTTGATTGTGCTATTTTTTGACGTGCTATTTTTTGACGTGCTATTTTTGTCATGTTCGTTCAGTCATTCCCTAGGTAGTACACACTTGTGTTCAAGCTAATTTGAATCTCTGCCTGAAGTGTTGTTGCTCAAGTCGTATTTGTATGCCAGACCTGTCAGTATTGAAATGATGCTTGTCCTAGTGTATTCTCAGGACTTGATTTAGCTACATGTATTTAAAACATTTACTATTGTTAAATGCAAACTAATATTCATATTTACATGCACTTGGTGCATGTAAACAAAACTCAAATTGTCTGATTAACCCTTACAAGTCCACAATATTCAATGTTTGAACCCTCAGTACCCCTTCAGTTAACATACTATTTCACAAGTCTGTTAGGTGTAATTCATGACACATGGCAGTCATCAGAGACTAGTTTCAACTTGATAAATTCATGGGACTGCTGTGCAACCTGGTTTTGTCAAGTTCCTTACATCGAGTCCAGAATACTCATGTCTGTTCCTTTGTGTACCCTTTACAGTCAGTGTTATGCCTACCCTCCATTTCAATTAAAAAAGGGATAGCTGAAGAAGCTGTAACCCTGTTCCAACTAATGCCCTATTTTTAAATACCATCAGCATAGGTGTTTTTTTCTTTCATGAAAAGCCAAAATGAACCTCTTATTTGCGTAGTTGTTTGTTTCAATGCTGAAAGTAGACTTTTTTAGAAAAAAATAACTTGCAATTATTGGTTCAAAAGCACAATTTGCAGGTTGCTAGCCAATGTTTAAACACAAGTCAAATTCATGTATTTTAATGTACTCTCCTTTGCAAACTAATATTTCAGTGATATTTTCCAATAAGGGACATGAATGTAATTGAGGATAAAACTAAATATTTCATTCTCTTGCTTTGACAGTTTTAGAGACATGCCTTAAACATTTTACAAGCTGATAATTTTTACGCACATCTTTCCAAGGAAATCATTCATGCAGTTTTATGTGACCGAGATAGACCTTTTTTTAAATCGCATGTAACAAAGTGAGATGTAATAGCAAGCTTTTTAAGAAATCTGAAATGGAATGTAAAGATTTTTATTGCTTTAACAAATGTAGTAATATTTTACCAGCAGTAATGACTCTCTAAACTTTTATGACATTTTATCCAACAGCTTCAATTCATGGGATATATGTCTAATCTTTTAATTTCCTATACAAAGGGAATTAGTTACACAATTCTAATTGTTTCTGCGTTCATTTTGTCATATTTCTTGAGTTGATTTTCTTTGTCATTTCCATTTTGCCCTTGTCAGGTGATGGTATATGTTAGAAAAAAAGAAGAAAAAAAATGTAAAATATTTTGTGATGCAAAAATATTTGTTACTATCTTTAAAAAATTGTTAAATAAAGCTTTTTATAAGTACACCTTTACTTTGTTTTGCACATTGAACTATATGAAATTCATGTCCTTCATTTATGCATTGCATCAACCCAAATACATGAATGAACAAACACAAATATTAAATTTGTGATATGTCTTGCAATTTAACATGTATCAATTGTAAGGATTAGGTATCCCCTAGGTTTACGCAAATGATGACTTGGATGGTTAAAACATTCAAAACTTTCATATTTCACAGAAGGTAAATTTCAACCCTTCCCAAGCAGAAGGATGGACTGTCAAGACTGCCTCTGACTTGTCTGAGCTCTGTGTTGTAGTCTCCAACATCATGGTGTTTAGTGCTTTCTGGCTGACAATGACATTTCAGGGGGAAAATCCAGAGCATTTAGCACAAAGGAGTTTGTTTTATACAGACATGCTTGACTTAAATGCAGGGCCTTTGCTCATTCTGAACAGTTCATGAAGTAATGATATGGTCATAAAACACACGATAGTTAACCTGGAGGAACTCATACCAAATGTTTTTGTAAATGTCATGGAGGGGCATTGTATTGAGAGTACTGCTTTGGGGATTGGGGACAACAGTGGCCTTTAATAAGTGACGTCAGGTAGCCACAGAAACAAACCAATACATGTGAAGTACTGTCGGAAATGCTAGAAAACTGCTTTTTGCCTGTTCGAAAGGATATATTTTTCAGACTTATTGAAATATCGAGTAACTACCGATCGCCCTACCTGTGGTTTGAAGTATTTCAGTCATCGACAAGTTTACAGGAGACAAATTCGAACGAAAACAGGAAGTTCACATTTATTCAAGTCCAATGATGACAGTCTGAAACGGACTATAGAAATGCGCACGTGACTCCAGGTATAATGATAATAATGTAGTATCCATAAAACATCTTATCCACACAAAAATCATTTTGAGAAAATTCTAGATGTGCATCTTCGAAAATGACAAAATGACGCTGCGTTTTCTTAACATTGCTCCCATGATGCATGTTTCATTACATTTGCATAGCCATAACCATGGTACACGATATGGAGTCTGTACTGGGAAATGTATAAAAGTTCTTTACACTTTTGAGAGATGGATGGAAACCATTTATTAGTTTAGATAGGGTGAATTACCGAACTGCCCAAGCTATGGGGTTTTTCAATTCATACCATCAAGTATGATAAGAAAACAAAACAGATATAGGGGTGGTCTCAAAAACAAAACTGGGAAGTAAAAGGATATTAGACTGCTTTCATTAGGCGTATAGTGTACAAGCTTTATGAGCAGAAGGTAATCCTGACTTGAAGTAGAATTTTTGGAAGAATTAAAGATGCCATTAATGTTTCCCGGACTGCACTAACTATTGCTCTCCAAGAGATGGGATTTCGATACACTGCGCGTGGCGATGACCGATCACTTTTCACGGGAAAGTATTCCAACCTGCCTATAAGGTCACATTATCTGCGAACCATTCGTAAATATCAGTCAGGGCGTCCAGATAATTTACCTTGAATCACTCTTCCGATTCCATGTGGCTATCGTCAGATGGACAAAAAGCACCCATGGTACCACCAGGTAAAGGAAATCGTATTATTGTTTTGCACGCTGCAACCCATGATATGGGGCTTATTGATGGACGTGTGCTAGTTTTCGAGGCGAAAAAGAAAACTTTCATAAGGAAATTATAGGAAGTGATGTGTTCATAAACTGGTTGGAACTTCCGCTATTGTCTATTTTATACAACGACAGTGTTGCCATGGATAACGCCAGTTAATACAACGCCCGGGAATCGGATACTGTCGCCCAAACCATGAGTAGTCTGAAGGCGACCATACAGGATTGACATTTTCGACTTCAGACCATATGGAATGAAAGTTCAACTCACGGAGAAATTCGGCTGAATAAGAAACCAGTAAAGTGCAAGACATATGTGCTGGCGGCACAACACGGTTACGATGTCTTACGTACGTCAGTCAGACATTGTGAGCTCAACCCTGTTGTGTCCATCTTGCTTAAGTCTAACGGGTTCGTAGCAAGACATAACACAACATTCAAAAGTACAGATTCATATACGTCATCAGCGGAGATAAATGCTACCTCAAGAAACCATCGGTAGAACAACAAATACTTCTGGTTTCCAAAACCGAACCTTCCAATACTCATCCCGTTTCATAGCTCTTAACTGGTCCATCGTGTTTCCAAGCAAATATAATGCAGTACATATCCTAAATTGCTACCCCATCAAAGCATGTAAATTAAGTAAAATAACAGCAATATTTTGAGACCACCCCCAACTCGATGACATTTGCACCTGGGAAAATGCACGGGGCGGTGTCAAGTCATCACCTAGGGACAGGTGTTAGGTAATTACCTCAGGTTATAGGCCATTTCATATATGCATGACAAAACACGAATATTTTCCAAGTTTATCGTCATTTCAGCTGTAAACGTTCATTTTAAGGGTAATCACAATGTCCGTAAGGACAGGATAGATTAGGTCAATTCGCTTTATTTTGATATATGCTCTTTTTATAGTCCTATGACTCGTTTTTATTAAATGAAGCCAGAAAAGCAGTTTTCTTGCATTTCCGACAGTACTTTAGCTCTCTGGTGTAACAAAGACCCTTAGATTCATGGTCAGATGAGGTCTTCAGTTTCCAAATCTTGGTGACATTGTGTATAACTCAAATGTCTTTAATGGGAAGAAGCTAAATCTTACTCATGGAGCGAAATACTGGGGTCGATATTTTAACTGGAACGTGGTACCATGAACTTGATTTTTTTTTTTTTTAAAGCACACATCATAATGAACATCCTATAAAACAGCAGCATGTAAGTAACAACTGACTGCAGGCATGAGCAGCGATTGGCACGATGGCGCACAATCGACCAAGACCTCGAGTCTGACCACCGACGGTCTTCAGTTGCCTCTATATCAGTTGATGAGACCAATGAGGATCGGGTTACAAAAGGTCCTTAGCAGTCTATGCATGTCGGTAAGAGGCGACTAACGGGATCGGGTGTTCAGGCTCACTGACTTGGTTGATGCATGTCATCTTATTTTAATTGTGTGGATCGATGCTCATGTCAATCACTGCATTGTCTGGCCCATACTCGATTTACAGACTGCTGTCATATAGCTGGACTATTGCTCAGTGCCGTGATTAACAACAACCAAACAGGAACCAAACAAAACCATTGTCAAAAAGAATATTTGTTGACAACTGTATTATGGTATTCACACTGTAACATCATATACTCCTCAAAACAAATTAAAGAACACCCACAATGAGACTGTTTTGCAATAAAATCAGCAATGACTGATTAGCCATATTAATATGAACGAAAGGTGTTCTTTAACTTCTGAATAGCATATATTTAGATTTGAACCTGATTAAGAGTATTGCCATGACCTTCCACGCTCTGGGATGGTCCCATAAAACACATAATTAAGTCAAATAATGAATCAATTTGTTTTTAAAACACCAACGTCTGTACAGTTACCTTAAGTGAATAGTGAGACATTTCAACATCCCCTAAAAGGGGATTGGAAAAAAAATAGCACTCTTTTATGAAGGAAAAAAACATCTCGGCCCCAAGAATGTAGAGTGCACGCACGCACAGTGGTTAAATCGTTCACTCGTCCCGCTGAAGACAATGTGTGAAGCCCATTTCTGATATCCCCCGTCGTGATATTGCTGGAATATTTCTAAAAGCGGCGTAAGACCACACTCACTCACTTTCAAACAGTGATAACACCAGGTGTTGACAAAAAGGTGAACGTACAATGACCCACCGGTTGCTGTTCAGTTGGAATATTCGACGTTTCTACAGTGTTGTTTTTTTATATTAATACATGTTAGATGAACAGGCAAAAGTTACATCCTTCCATACTTTTATGTATAAAGATTAACCCTTCCGAATTATAGTTTCATTCATGATTAACGCACACACCCACACCTTGAAGACCCTGTGAACACCATTGTTCATCATAACATTGCAGTTCCCCCATATTGTGACGTGGTCAAGCACCCCTAATCGCCAGCAAGACGTTTAGTTTGCAAAGGGATGTAATTCTATAAAGTCATATTCATAACATACCAATAACGATTTCTATTTATATCTCTTCCTACCATCGCTACACGACCCGTGAAGATTCCGGGGTAGAATTATTATTGGTCTTCAGCAACCCATTCTTGCCGTAAAAGGTGACTATGGTTGTAAAAGGCGACTAACGGGATCGGGTGGTCAGGCTCACTGACTTGGTTGATGCATGTCATCTTATTTTAATTGTGTGGATCGATGCTCATGTCAATCACTGCATTGTCTGGCCCATACTCGATTTACAGACTGCTGTCATATAGCTGGACTATTGCTCAGTGCCGTGATTAACAACAACCAAACAGGAACCAAACAAAACCATTGTCAAAAAGAATATTTGTTGACAACTGTATTATGGTATTCACACTGTAACATCATATACTCCTCAAAACAAATTAAAGAACACCCACAATGAGACTGTTTTGCAATAAAATCAGCAATGACTGATTAGCCATATTAATATGAACGAAAGGTGTTCTTTAACTTCTGAATAGCATATATTTAGATTTGAACCTGATTAAGAGTATTGCCATGACCTTCCACGCTCTGGGATGGTCCCATAAAACACATAATTAAGTCAAATAATGAATCAATTTGTTTTTAAAACACCAACGTCTGTACAGTTACCTTAAGTGAATAGTGAGACATTTCAACATCCCCTAAAAGGGGATTGGAAAAAAAATAGCACTCTTTTATGAAGGAAAAAAACATCTCGGCCCCAAGAATGTAGAGTGCACGCACGCACAGTGGTTAAATCGTTCACTCGTCCCGCTGAAGACAATGTGTGAAGCCCATTTCTGATATCCCCCGTCGTGATATTGCTGGAATATTTCTAAAAGCGGCGTAAGACCACACTCACTCACTTTCAAACAGTGATAACACCAGGTGTTGACAAAAAGGTGAACGTACAATGACCCACCGG